CTGAATCCTTCATGTCCGTTTTTTCCTCTTTCCAAATTTATTTCACTGGATTATACTCTTTAAATAACATCTCCAAACCCTAATCTTCCCGATTACTGCTTATACTCTTGCTACCTCTACCACTACGGGATTTGAATCGACAACTGCATCTCTGTGCTAATATGGTGTGGCAACTCGAACTGATGTACATAAGTACGAAGTTCTACGTTGTTACTGACTGACTGACTGTGTTGCCAAATACCGAATGAACACACATGGAGTCACAAGTGATTGCAGATAACTAGATCGACGCTGCCAGGGACTAGTTGGTGGAAAATCCACACACTTATTGTATCTCTTATACACCAGCATCTGAGGTACTATGGGACTTTGGGTTACCATGTGACTTTTATAGGTCAGTATATCAAAGTTCCAGAGCAAGTTAGTAGAGTTTCAAACTTAAGATTTTAAAATTCCTCAACCACATCTATGGAATGAATGACTGTTACCGATTCGTGAGATAAGTAGTAATGTGACTTTCACAGCCCCAGCGGCCTAGTCATTAAAATCTGTTTTTATTCACGTATATTCAACTTAAGTAAATACTCTCTCCCTCTTCAAATTTCAGATGTTATTCGGGATCGCGGGATTGAAAATCTAACAATAGACGATTTGGTAGCTGAAATTACCCCAGTCGGTCGACGTATGGTGCCAGACACAGTAAAGCAAGAGCTACTGGATGAAATTCGAAGTTTTTTGAGTAAAGAAACAGATATACTTTGACTACTAGGCAGATCGTATCTCGCAATCTTCGAGTTTCATTCCTAGTATTAAATCTACGGTTGTATTGTTATTCTGGATTTCTATTTTTTCACTAACCTACTATCTTTATAAGTCTATCAGTTTGTACTTTCCAGAGTAATATTAGGATTAATACTATTTCAAAGAAAAGTTAACTGGGTTATTGCATATATTCTTATTCTGTAGAGTAATGATTCAGCGATCACAACAGTTGACTTCTACTCTGGTTTAGGCATCCAGCTCTCAAACGAAAGTGCGCAAATTATGGTATCTACGTACGCTATTTACCGAAGCATATTACAGATCTAGAAGGGAAGAAACTAGTGTTGTTCTTCTACCTCGGCTCATCATAGTGTTTTGCAATCATTGTTATACAAACAATGGTTTGGTGAACTCTACTGGTGTAAAGTATCGAAGTTGTTGATCCAGTAGTTTTTCCTGGTGCGATTTACTTTTCGTTGTGGAGACAGTCGCTGAAGTACTGATACTGAAGTGTCTGCTGCTATAAATGGTGAGTGTGAATAGACCTATACTTACGCACGACAAGCATGAGGAGCAGAAAAATGTAAACAATCATACAGGAATCATGTCACCCTAATGTGTGTTATTAAAGAACTAGTTTGTTGAAGGGGTTTATAAGAATATACGCAAGAGTTCCAATGGAGCAACATCAGTAAACCTAGGAGTGGTTCCTGCTAAACTAAGCAGATCATTGAGTTTCAAAGTGCTGCTATAATGAAGTTCAATATCTGTGATTACACGAGAACTGTGAGGGGTTAACCAAACTGGCAGGTTTTAGATCGTTGTAGTCAACTTGTATTGGGAAGGTTCGGGAACATGCCCCCGTTTTTTGGTGTTTTGTAAATATTGTAGTTCATAAACTTGAGTATCATAAATTTCCTATAAGCTTGCATCTGAAAACTGAGATAAAACGACGGTCTTATTCGAGATGAATGTGCTTCGTATACAGCTGAGCAAGTTGCATCTCATGGCTCAAAAAAACTGACAGACGAATACCAAAAGTTTACGGATGCTTTCTGTCCTCATAATCTATGTTTCTCCGCTGTAAGGTAATGGACAGTGAACTGCTAAATACTTTCTTTATGAACATCGAGATCTCCGTCGACTCTCAAAAATTGATTGAGAATATAATAATTGTCTGACCATAAACAACTTTCGGGGATTACTTACACCTGTTACTCCTAGTGGAGGAGGATAGGCCGCCCATCAGCACTCTTCATCTAACTCTATCCCGGAAAATCCTTTCCAGTTGCGACTCATCCTTTTCATAGTCTGCTTCCAATTCTCGGTGCAGTGTGTTCTTCGACCTTCATCTTTTCCGTTTCCCTTCAGCATTCCATATAAGCGCTTGCCTCATGATACAGTCCGATGGTTTTCAAAACGTATGTCTTATTCACTTCCAACATCCTTTCCTAATTTTCCCTTTATTTGGAAGCTGGTTTGCTCTCTCCAACAGTAGGCTGTGGCTGATGGTGTCCGGACAACAAACATTCAGTATCTTGATGATGGTTGTAGTACTTCTCCACGTTTCAGCTCCGAACAGTAGGACTGTCTTGACGTTTGTATTGAAGATCAAGACTTTGATACTGTTTGGCGGTTGTTATGAGTTCCATGCATTCTTCAGTTGTAGGGATGCGGCTGTGCCAATCCTCGAATTTATATCTTCATGAAATCCTTGTTCATCGATTATGCTTCCCATGTACGTGAAAGATTCCACATCCTCCAGAGTCTCGACATCAAGTGTGATTGAGTTTGTATTCTCCGTGTTGTATTTGAGGATCTCGCTTTTGTATGTTGAGGCCTATTGATGCAGAGGCTGCTGCTACACTAGTTGTCTTCATCTGAATTCGTTCATGCCCATGGGATAGGGGATGGTCATCTGCGAAGTTCAAATCGACTAATTGATTCTGAGCAGCCCATTGTATTCCGTGCTTTCCGTCAAATGTGGAGGTCTTCATAATCCAGTCAACCAACAGAAGAAAGAGGAAGGGGGAGAGTAGACAGCCTTATCTGATTCCGGTCTTTACTTGGAGTACATCTATCAGCTGTCATCCACGGACGAGTTTGCACTGTAGTCCTTCATATGAGTTACGGATTATGTTGACAATCTTCTCAGGAACTCTATAGTTTTCTCTTGTCCACACTATCAAACGCCTTCTCACAGTCAATGAATTTGATGTATATTGACAAGTTCCACCCAATCGACTGTTCGACGATGATCCGTAGTGTCGTGATTTGGTCTGTGCACAACCGGTCCTTACGGAATCCAGCCTGTTGATCACGAACTTGGGCGTCTACTGCGTGTTTCATCCGGTCCAGCAACATTGTCGAAAACTTATTGTACTGACAGTAGTGTGATGCCCCTTTAGTTCTCTATTTGCTAAAGTCTCCTTTCTTTGACATGTTGATAAGGTGTCCTTCTTTCTAGTCCATCGGCACTTGTTCTTCCTCCCCAATCTTCTCGAACAGAACATGGAATACGTGCCTTCTCACTTTTGATTTGTGTGGTGGCCGTCTTAATTTCTTCCGTCGTTGGTGGAGTGAAATCTATAGGAAGGTATGTGCTGCTTCGATGTCCGATGGATTCAATGGAGCTGACCTATCGTGAAGTCCCTCAAAGTGCTCTACTCATCTTTTCCTCTGTTCTTGGATCTCAGTGATTGGCTTGTCTTCTTTACTCTTGATTGGTTTCTCTGGTTTACTATATCTCCCTGCTAGTTTCTTCGTTGTATCATCTTGCTAAAAAAACGCCAACCGGATTAAACAAATTGCGAGAACTCCGCAACTATAATAGAAACACCCAGCGATGTCGGAGTTAGGTGTAGGTTACTAGGTGGTGATGGCAAACAGACTGATGGGGTTGCAAATATTCATTGAATAAAGATATTATAAGAGCATGAAGTCATTGACAGTTAGAGTGAATTAAATCAAGAGGTGAAAACCTCGTCGGTATCCGCAATAAAATTGTGAGCTTTTGGTAGTGTGATTGGAGACCAGCTGAAAACATTTTATGAAATGCCACGAATCTTGACTTTCAATAATTCATATTGTAAGAAAAAAAATCCTTGGTTGTTGTATATGCAGGATTACAATGGTATTTCTCAAGGTTTCAATTTATTAGAATTCGACCGCTATTAAGAACTGGCTAACATAGATTTTATTTAGTGTAGGCAAACTGATGTGAGTCCATAGTTCAGTGCCACTCATAAATTACTTTGGACCTGACCGTTTCTGGTGCGTCGCCACGATGTTTGGGCTCGCATATAATGTTGATCTATGTTGACTGACACACTTGGTGTTCTATATTCAGTGGGTCGATTGGAGATCAAGACCTAAAGCATCAAACTTGAGGTCCGAGAGTGAAGTCATTTTGCAGATCGCAACGAGGTGTGGCAACAGTAGTATTCCTCACGGATAAATAACAGCCGCAGTATTTATTTGAACACATAAATATTGGTACAAGGGAGCAACAGATGCATATGCGCCACGAAAACCGCAGTACTACTGCCTCACAAAGGAACTAGGAAGGGTTAACCCGGAAAGGAAAATGACTTATCTTCCCCCGACAGATTACCAGTGCTCACAACAAGATCTGTCAACCACGGAGCTAATATATCGTGCGTCTTTGAACTTAAGCAGCTAATTCCTGGACTTTGTGGTCATACTCAGGTTTACAAGAACTTCGCCACTGATCCATTTTCTATTTTTAACCCATCAAGACGATATGGGTGAAGTGGGGAGTGATAAACACCTGCATACCTGAAAGCAATTGAATTATTCTCATTCACAATGAAACACTTTCCTCGCTTCAAACTACTTAATACACTTTATTTGTCATTAATAAATGGATGCAACTCAGTAACTGCAGCATAAGGTGAAGGGAGTTCAGGTGGTAACAAATGACGAATATTCCCATTAGCTTGAACATGCTTGTGTAAATAACTTAAAAGTTTTGTGATCCCGAAGAATTTCATGTTAAGGTAGATCTGCTGCAAACTACATCTTGATAACTAATAGCTGAAACGATTATATTAGTGTAAAAATCTATAAAACTGACTTAACCTAATGAAATCACTTATTTGGAATAAGGAGTTTCCATTTTTTTATACTATAATGAATAAAGTTATCGAACAATGTATTTTTTTAAAATCATTCTAATTGTTATTTCACTGAAGCAAAATGAAAGTGATTGAAACGTACTAAACGAGGAATGGAGAGTCAAGGCAACCATAACCTGCTACTATTCCACCTTCATTAGATTCCAGTGGTTTTGATCGAAGAAGGTGACCAGAAAACTCATTCAGAAAGATTTCATCTTTACACCTGTTTACAAGAAAAAGCATTGGGATAGTATTTAAATTACAATCCGTAAGAGAAATCAATGAACAGTTCAATTACAGGCTTTCTACTCGAACACAACTAGTATTCGATCATAGGTGTCTTCGAAGAATTGCCCGTATATCCTGGGACTACCGAGTAAGTAATGCAGTTGTTAGGAAACAAGTACTAGGTAAGGATGGCAAATCAATTGATAACGTAGTGAAACTTCATCAGTTGAGATGGCTGGAACATATGTTACCTATGCCCAACCACCGACGTGCGATTTTTTACGGTGTATGAGTAGGTTGGAAGGAAGCTAGGGGCGGCCAGACCAAAACACGATACAAATCCATGAAGTCACTGACAAGTGCAATGAGCCATGTTGGTAAGTGTAGACTAACTGGTTGGGATCCGCGAGACGATAGCAACTGAGACATTGAATGACATGTCTCAAAATCATTTGCAATGGCGCAGGCGCATCCACTTTTTGTGTTCTCTCGAATTCTAATCTTCGGAGTTTTCCCATGTCTCTTTTTTCTTCTTCCAAATTTATTTCACTGGATAACACCCCTTGAATAACATCTTCAAACCACAGTCTTTCTAATTACTGCTTATATTTTTTCTACCTCTACCACCATGGAATGTGGATCGATAATTGTATCTCTGTGCTAATGTGGTAATGCAACCTGAACTGATGTACTTACATACGAATTTCTACGTTATTGCTGACTGAATGTAATTTCGTCCGACTAATTAAAGTAAACCACATTAGCATTTACATAAAGACCTCAAAATAAATATGCTCTGAAATTAATTAAAGTGGATTGACATATCTACTTTCTAACATCTAGGTTCTAATAATTTAAATTGTATTTTCACAAAGAATTTCCTTTATTATTTAGTAGAGATTCTGTTTTTTACTTACACCTTATTGCGAAAAATGTGACAGATATAAGCAGCATAGGAAATGGCAAAAATGTGCATTGACTCATGTTGCTATATTAATCAGCACAGAGATTCGTACTGGGGAGCGGTTTATGCTCCTCCACGAGGGGTGACAGGGAAAATGAATCCCCGAAACAAAGATATAACATAAATTTTAAAATCTAGATCTGGTAGAGGGAAAGAGTGAATGCATTTTTACAAATGAGCTTGATTTTAGCATTATTATTTAACCTCATGCTAAATCCAAACAAGTAGTGTATACCTACCAACATACGTCTGGGCAGTAGCCCGTGATTCATGGACTGATGTCATGTCATGGTTTGGCTGCCACATAAAATCCACCAATCATAACTTCGAAAATCAAAAATAAGTTGCGGGGTAATGCAATCATTCCTTATTTTAATCCATCAACATCCCTTCAATCTAAAAGAATATAACTCATTTGAATCTCTATAATAGTATCATAAATGACAGTATTATAGTTTTACCAATTTTTAAAATGAAGTAAACGTGAATTAACGACCACTAAGTAAATTATTCATTGACAGAGTATCTTGCATTGGTTTTCAAAGTCAAAATGACAAACTAGAAATAAAAGAAAGTACACTACTAGTTGTTAAACTTACGCAAGAATTGCACCAAAAATACCCAATTCAGTAACCATTTTCTTGACATTTAATTCTCCAGAAGCTGAAGTTGAATTCAATATAGAATTTTCGAAAATATATGGTTGTATACGCTCCATAAGTACATACAGTTTTCTTTCAGAATGATTCATAATTGACTTTAATTTCTGAACAAGTTCCTCTATGTATAATTAGTAAAGAGGATAACTGATTAAGAATTAGATCAATCTAAATCATAGTCAATAAGTTATTCTTCAAATGACATATCTATTAATCATTGATGATTAAAACTATTTTTGTAACAAACAATCTATTCCTATGATTTTACAACTCGTCCTTACTAAACCATAAGTAAATCTAGCTTTTAGCAAGATTTACATATTTGTCGTAAGTAATTAGCTACTGTGTACATCTAAATTTGAGAACGGTACTGCTAATTTAATTGTTTTCGATAGGGTGCCGATAAAGACTTACATGAGTGATTGTAAGAAACATAGTTTGGTCCTAGTGTTCTTAAAACACGTCATTTATCATTAACTACAAATTGAAACTGGACAAATTTTTGTTTATACATTCTTTAAAGAAGGGCTCATATAGTAAAACTACCAAGTGAGTATTGCCGGTTATGGACATGATATTAGATAAATATGTTAGGTTAGATTGATAACGCTGTAAACCATGGTCGACCGGAATGATTGGGACAAGTGTTATTCTATGTCCTGTCATGGACTGTTAAATGAAATACGCGCAGTTTGGAAAAAAGCCAAGAGTGAGTATATCGGAACGCGCTAGCGGTTCATGAAGTCGTTAACCACTGGTTAGGAACGTGCAGATTTCGGCGTAGAAACTTTTGGATATATCCACTTCAAAACACTTCCAATTTATTACGAAATAGCCGTTCTATCTTCATGTTCATCATTTATAACATCCTTGACGGTCCTAAAAGGTCAAGATTCCCAACCACCTCATCCTTTCATTATTTTTATGCTAGGATCGTGTGTATGGATGATGTTTCTTGGTTCACTTCATCACTAGCTATTCGGACAAAGAGTCAGTCGTCAAAAAGTTCAAGATGCCTTACACTTAGAACGTCTGGAATAAAAGTAAATGTTGACAGTTATCATGGACCTTGCGTCACTACAATCTATTAAAATGCTTTATCCAATCTCAATGAGTCGTTTCCTTCAGAGTGTTTTCACAAAGCTTTATCAAAAATCTAAGTATCTCAGTCCCTATATTTATCGGACAACCCATATATATTCGCTCCAAAACACTTATATTCGAAACATCGTATCTGGACATGGATGCTCTCTAGAAAAACCATTCACACTAAGCACTTTTGAAGTGATAATAGTAATAACCGAAAAATCCAGCATAACTCAACACAACATTTTATAGACCGAGCCCGTAACGACATATTTATTGCATAAAGGTTAATAACGTGAAAAGTGATTATTCACCTTAAAAGATCGACTAACAAATCTAATCGTATTGAATAAAACTAAAATGGTAGTTATCGAGAAAGATTTAACAAGAAACCAATACCTCCAAAATAATTATTCCCTCCACCTTCTCTCTGTGGTTTCAAAACATAATTATCTGGTCTTAATAGACAATCGTTAATTACATATTGAATCTCAGTGGAATCCGATATTCCCATTTCTTCATCTAATGTATATTGATGGGCGAATGTAGATAAAATATTTAAATAACTTGAACTATCCGGATTAAAAAATCTAGATAAATATTTCGGTTTCGATAGGGCGGCTTGTACTATTTTTGTATTTGCAAGCATATATTGTATGCATGGCATTTGATAGCTAACGACCGTTCAAGTTCATATTTCACATCCCATGTCTACGCACGAAGTGAATAAAACACACACAAAATGGAAATATATAAAGACCAAATAGCTGAAAGTATCATTAACTAGATTTGTGAGAAAAATTAACATAGATATTTTATTGGATTATTGAGCAGCTAATCTGGAAAGACTTATACGAATCAGTGCAGAAAATAAACCACAAGGGGAATAGATGTGCAGATCAAGTTGTATGTTGCAGTAAGTAGGAATATAAAATACCATGCTAAAATCTCGACAAACCTATGAGAGAAACACATCTATAATGCACACTGGAAACCTGTCAACAGTAGCGTGATGGGGATCTGAGTTTTAAGTCTTGCTACATTCTTTGACTTGACTAGTTTAATTGTGAAATTTTCATGGATCTACAGAACAACATAATTAGTACAGACTTCAGGTAGAAGTGAACTATTCGAACTTCTCCCCACATAACCTACTGATAGCATGTTTGGTCGAATTTGATTTATTAATTATTGTTGACCTTTATTCTGTCATTATCTGCATATTTATTTTGACAGAATTAAACACGATCAAACCGTCCAGGTCAGAGAATGAAACTAATAAAATAACCCACCTAAAACAAAAATCTTGTCTCCACCACCGCGAATTTCTTCTCCTTATATAAATTCTGTTTATTTGACTAGTTAGATGTTTAAATTTCTAACGCGGACTGTTGTATTAATCGAGTCATTGATAAGGCTGTTCATTATGGAGAGTAAAATCTGAGGAAATTTGATAAGCACAAAATTACAGCTCTATAATAATGTAGATATAACAAATTCAGTATTGTGAATTATTATATTGCGACATAATTTCTTATCTGTAAATGTAATCATGGCAGATTTAGTAATTACACATTATGTATTCACTGGAATCTAAGATACGGATGTAAATCTACAGCTTAATGAAAAAAGAGATCTGAACATGCTGGAAAGATTAGATGGAAATAAACAATATGTGGAACCGTGTGTTGGCATGTTAAAAGTAAAAAAAACACTGTTTGAAGTCACTAAATGTTAACGAGATGAGTTAAGTACATCAGGGATTAATTAAGTTTTTTTTTAACATTTGATAATATGTTAAAATAAGTTAAGCACCTTTTAATTAATATCAACGAAATGTATGAATGAATTTTGATGAGAATATGAACTATACGTTATTATGAAGTATAAAACGGATCCATTTTAATAATTCATATATAAAGGTTGCCAGTGAACTGTTAGTACGATTACAATTTATTTCAATATAGAAATAGACGACGAATGTTGTAGTCTTCTGTTTAGTTGTGAGACGAAACATTGTGAAAAATTTATTTTCATGATCTCAATCATTAACTGCAAGATAATTCTTATTACTGTGAACGTCAGTAATTGACGAAAGAATTTAGGTTAGTTCTGCGATTGAACAGTGTTAGGTCCTGATAAGCATAATGAATGGTAACATTTGGGATCCATTTATGGACCAATAATAAACGTATATTTTATCGTATAATTGTTAAATAACTAAACTATGCATATTCATATTCTTCTTATTATAAGCTATTATTATACGTTTTACCATTCTTAAATTATGCCCTGTCTATTAATCACTACCTCCCTCATTCACAACCACTTTTGGCCAAATGTTATTTCCTATTTTATGGTACGTTGTGGTCTGTTTGATTGGTATATAAACTCCGTATGTCTGAGATAAATTATTCATATTGCAGAGGCTCGGATTGCTGTTCCGGACTTAACTGGCTGTGCTAGAACAGTAAGCGGGACCAATAAGAACTCCAGACTGCTCACACGGGTTTAGGCGTCATTGATCCGATCGGTAAGTCACTGCTCTGTAATCGGCGGTCACAAGTTATAAGAAACACAAAAAAGTATTCCAGGGAATACACGTCACAAAGAATGTCAACATGCGATCCATTAAATATTAATCAAGGATTTTTATAACGGACTGAATTTGGATACTTTTGGATGATATGTAACCATTTATTATCAAATTATTCGGTCTGCAGTATGAGATGATACGCTATCTATTCTTTTTAAAAGTGTGGATGTGGTGAAATACAACTCGTTGACCAAAAGAGGTTTGTTCTCTAAGTAGCATTATTTTTCATGTTATAATCAACTTGATATTAGGAAAGCTCAGTGAAATGCTGGCCCTTAGTTAGCACCAAAATAGCATACTTAGCTAATCCCCTTTGAATGGATGTTTATTAAACCCACTTTATGCGAAGTAATTATTTGTTGCGTAACTTTCTTCGATGCCTTGACGATAGTCAGTCAGTAACAACGTAGAACTTCGTACGTACGTACGTCAGTTCGAGTTGCCACACCACATTAGCACAGAGATGCAGTGGTCGATTCAAATCTCGTAGTGCTAGATGTAGTAAAATTATAAGCTGTGATCAGAAAAATTAGGGTTTGAAGATGTTATTCAAGGAGTATAATCCAGTGAAATAAATTTGGAAAAAAGAAAAAAGGGACATGAAGAATTCAGAAGATTAGAATTTGGGAGAACACAAAGAGTGGATGCACCTGCGCCATTGCAAACGATTTTGAGCCATGTCATTCAGGGTCTCTAACCATCGGTTGCTATCATCTCGCGGTCCCCAACCAGGTAGTCTACACCTACCAATATGACTCAGTCCACTTGTCAGTGACTTCATGGACTTGTGCCATGTTTTGATCTGGCCGCCCCTAGCCTTGACGATAAATTAAATGATTTATCCATATCGCAAATTATATTTTTAATGCTAAACGTACAGCTACATGTAGATACAAAAACATGTGACATGAATGCTTCCCCAGTGTGCATGTTTCAAACTTATAAGGACAAATACTAATTGTAGGATTTTTGATCCTTTCGATTTTTCATGATCACATTTATTTATCCATCAAGTGTAAAAAAATATTTATCAAATATATTACGACGCTATGCAAAACGATCAGAAGCAATTGTTAAACTCAATAGCTTTCTTGACCATAAATGAAAACAGATAATTGATGGAATTGGAGAAAACTGTATTATCAAATAATTCATATCTACTGATAAACAAATTTCAACTGCTTCCTGTTACTTTTGGATAAAGTTGAAAATATTTAGATTATTACGAATACTGTCCAACAACTTAGTAACTTAGTCTTACAGTTTCCTGTGCTTAAAAGTATCAGTGATATTGGTATTTAAATGTTTGTATTCTTCTCAGAAACTATTGAATTTTTTATGGTTAACACTTTATTTAATCCAGATTATTTGTAAAACACGTAAACTTAAGCAAAAACAATTTTTTCTGGAAACCAATTAAACTAGTAGTTAGGACATTTTGTATTATAGACAGATACATGTCATAACAAGAAAAAAAGTCAGATTACAATACACTATTTTCCTGACCACTTGGTGATTTTGGTACCTCGGAGTCCCACAACCATGAAATTTTGGCAGACTAAAGGCTTATTGATCCAGGTCTCTCGAGTCTAGCTGAAGTCTAGGAAACCTTTAATTATTTAAATGTGAGACATTAATGTTTCGACGCTATTAACAATACTATTCCTGAGTTGTTGTAGTTGTTTTCCCCTGATAAACTTCACATACATCAGTATTAAATATACTTAACACAACTGTGAAGCACATGGGAGCAAAGGTATTGTAAAATAGATGCAATTGAGCAAACTGAAGTATATAATACTCAGACTGCCCCATCTGTCATCGTTCAATGTGCTATCGTGATGCAACACACAAAATACGTATTCAGAACTTAAGACTTTAATGTACGTCTTACTTGATACTGTGGTAGGAATTCTTCCTACAATAATGCTATAATATCAGTTACCTGACAAACAGTAACAAAAAACAACAAAATATATGCAAAAAATGGGCTTTTTTAACTGCAAGATGACTGCATAATATTTGCATTATTTGCAACCAACAGTTCATTTCTGTAACGCAGCATCAACATGATGGGTAAAATTTTTATGTTGCATATTTCAGGTTTAATCCCATTAATCATGTTTTTATATAACAACATTTGTTGTCTTATTTCAGTAACAAATGTTTCGTTATAACGTGTCAACCAAACTGGGTTATCTAGTCTAATGTAGTGAATATCATAACATTTTTATCACTTGATCTTATCCTTAAAATTGGCATGACTAGTGTAACTTATTATTATTCGAGAATAAACTATTATTATTATTATTATTATTATTATTATTATTATTATTATTATTAGACGGAAGTGTTATTGAACAATTCGACCTTAATGAACACTATCTATTTTTTAAAAAAAATTAGTATCAGCCGACAGTTTTAAATAATAAAAATAATATTAGCTTGGGAAAAACGATTGTATGATGTAGAGGTAGTGGTAACTGGAAAAACATTCCATCCGTATTATTAGTCGTTCTATATTCAAAACCAGTATTCTAAGAACTTTTTTGAGTACCACATTTAATAATACCTTGTTTTTCTACATAGCAGACATCGATGAGCTTTCAAAGTGAAGATGATTCGGCCCTCTTCAGGGGTCCTTCGAGAAGATGATTTATTAGTCTCAATTTATGTTTTTGTTACATAAACATAACATCACTGCAGATAAATGTTCTGCGCTTCATGCTAAATTGTTACTTACATAGGTTTTTTACTGAACGAGTCACATCTGTAGTCTATAACAGGTTCAGTTGATTTGGTAAATAGTTTATATGGAATTCAGTTATCAATAACTATTAAACCTAAGAATAATTTCAAATGAACATATAGTGAAATGCAATAGAACTGATTTGCAACTATATGCGAAAATATTTGACAAAATAAAGATGGTTAAAAGTTATTTAAAGCGTAAGCGACCATAGAACATGAAACATAAACGTCAATCAGAAACTAATACACTTGAAACCTGACCATCATGTCTAATTTCTGCTCATTATATCACCGCGAAGAATTTTACTGAATAACAACTTTAAATCAGTATTGAAAGATTAATGAAGAAATTGTATGTGATAAACAAGTGGTTAAAAGGAGATAAAATCAAAAGTGAAGAATAATTTATTGGAAAATATCACATAACTTAACACAAACATTATCAGAAGGATAAACGTCACTCACTTCGTCATCAGGGAAAGCATCTGGAGTATAGCCAGTTCTAAAATATACAACAGCTACCTCTTGATTGTCTCTAAAAATAAAACAGACTTTGTTTAGCGGCAAAAAAATATATATAACAAGCAGCAGCTTATGAGACCCAATTATTGATATACTGAAATAGGCAACGCCACATTCCGACTTTACATCACGGACTGACCTTAGTTAGACAGCCAATGAAAAATAGGAAGCACTAGACAGCTATTTCATCCTAGCATGTGACTCGTCAGCAGTACATACCTACGACTTCACTGGAAATTGAACCTGAGTACTTCAGATCTCGAAGCGAGTGCTTAACCCTTAGACCACTGGAGCCGAGACCCAGTAGTATATATTTGACAATATTCATGGGTATAGCTTCCTAACGCAACTATCAAGTAGTCCCTAGTTTTGAATGGTTCACTGACGAAAATCAACCCTTGATGCTATTAACATAATATCGTGATTGTCTACGCATTTACCCCCTATTAGCAGCACATATAAACAAGAAACGCAATAAGAATTATAAAGAAAAGGTAGCAGGACCGTAGATCATAGGATTTTCCAACTAAATGTCAGACACGATATAATTATGTTCACATAAACCAACCGTATTGGTGAATTTACATAGGGTAGAAAAACATGCCTTATATTTCTCATGGGCTACTATGATCAATTAGATGTCTAACATCAGAGATCGTACTACCAGAAAGTACAGTGAAGGAAACTTAGACACCTAAGAACATATATTCAAATGAATACCTTAAATACGCCCTTTAAACATGTTTTACACCAATTATGTTTGAAATTCTTTAAGTTCTCTTAACAGTATGGGGATATGTGCAGAATGAAGTATTTTCACTGTTGAATTCACAAGTCAATCTAAGCTAGACCATCATTGAAAACCTGGAAACACTGAACGACCGTTTCTTCCAGTTATGAGACTCCTCAGCATTGTGAAACTACCATCCCTCAGGAGGGATTCGAAACCACGACCTTCGGTCTCGCGCGCGAATGAAATGGCCGTCCATTGCTCCCAGGTATTGAATTGAGTAGCGAGAAAACCAAAAGTAGGTCCCACCAACAACTGAGGTCACACTTAGGTAGTTCTAAAAACGAGGCTGACCCAGATGTTGCTTGGAAAGATATACAAGCAGCTGTGGAAACAGCAGTGACATCTATCAGTGATTTAAACCACAAGGTTACAAAGAACCAATGGATTTCCTCAGGGTCTATTGCACTGATGGATTCTCGTAAACTCATCCCATCAGGCTCTGAACGCGATGAACAGCGACAACAAATCAGATCTAGGTTAACCAAAAGTCTAAGGAACGACCGTGAACAATGGTGGGCAACGAAAGCGAAAGAGATGGAAAATGCGGCTCTACAGACTAATAAAACAAACTGGAATTAATAAGTCAAGTGTAAGTCAGACTATTTCGGAAAAAGACGACACCCTCATCTGCTCTCAGTCCAGAAGTTTATAACGGTGGGCGGAACATTTCAGAGAACAGTTCAGCTGGCCTTCAGCTACTCTACAACTACCCTCCATTCCCAGACAGTGTGAATGGGACATTGATGTAGGTCCCCCAACTCTAGCTGAAGTCCAAAAGGCTATAGTTAATCTGAAACGAGGAACGGCAGCTGGTCCAAATGGATTGACTCCAGAGGTCTTTAAGGATGGTGGTCCAATTTAAGCCATTAGGTTGACTAACATTTTATCTAAAATCTGGGAGTTGGACGTTATCCCATCTGACTGGTCACAATCACTCATCGTCCCAATATATAAGTGACGGTCGAAATCATCCTGTGACAACCATAGAGGGATTAGTTTAACTAATATAGCATCTAAAATATTATCTTCGATGATTATCCGACGCCTAACTAAGATTTGTGAACTGCAAACACGAGAGAATCAAGCTGGCTTTTGACCATGTCGTGGTTGCATCGACCACATATTCACCATTCGTCAGGTTCTAGAACATAGGCATACTTATTGGCGTCCGACAATGGTGGTCTTTCTTGACTTAAAAGCAGCATTTGACTCTGTAGACCGAGAGGTTCTGTGGCAGTGTCTGTCATTGAAAGGCGTACCTCAGAAGTACATAAACTTTGTAAAGGCTCTCTACTCGAACACTACTAGTCGCGTCAGAGCTTATGGCGAACTGTCATCTGCTTTTGCAACCTCAAGTGGTGTCTGTCAAGGCTGTCCACTTTCTTCATTTTTGTTTAACTTCACATAGACCTATTGATGGAAATAACATTTCATACACATAGTTCCCTTTAGCATTTTGAAAAGAGCAAGAACAAAGATTCTAGCAGAATAGCATGAATTCATTTTATTTCGTAGGTTCGCGTCAGCTGCTTACAACTTGTGATATTTAAAAAATCATAATTACATAATAGGTTTAAATTGCTTACATTCTCGTCGACTAAATTCTCGGGTATTGATCTCCTTCCAGGAGATGACATAGTTTTGTTTGGTGAAGACACTGACAAAATGCAGAGTCTTCTGGTAGCACTAAGCAACAATGCCAGAATGTTTGGAATGCGCTTCTCTCCCTCGAAATGCAAGTTGTTGCTTCAGGACTGGTCTGCGTCAACACCTGAATTAAGGATAGGAAGTGAAGTAGTCGAACGCGTTGACAACTTAACTTATCTTGGAAGTCTGACCAGCCCTAATGGGTTGGTGTCTGAGGAAATTTCAGCACGGACTCGAAAAGCTCGTTTGGCTATTTCCAACTTATGTCACCTATGGCGAAGGCGAGATATCCGTCTATCAATAAAAGGACGAGTATACTGCGCGGCAGTCTGTTCTGTTCTACTTTACGGCAGCGAAGTATGGCCATTGAAGATAGAAGACACTCGTATTTGACCACAGATGTCCTAGAAATATTGCTCGTATCTGCTGGGATCACCGGGTAAGTAATAGTGAGGTTAGACGCAGGGTATTAGGAAATGATGGTAAATCAGTTGATGAGGTGAATCTTCATCGAATGAGATGGTTGGGCCGTGTTACGCATGCCTGAACACCGATTACCACGGAACGCAATGCTGACTGGTGTTGGAGATAGAAAGAAAGTTAGGGGCGGCCAACCCAAAACGTGGCATCAGTGCTTGAAGTCACTAACTTCTAGTCTGAGCCATGTTGGTAGATGCAGACTACTTGGTTGGGGTCCGCGTGACTATCGTAACCAATGGTTGGAGACTCTTGGTGACATGGCTTAGAATCGATCACAATGGCGTCGGTGTATACACTCTTTGTCTTCCCTTAAACTAAGAGATTAAAACCACTTCATATCTTTCTTTTTACGAACCAATTCTTTCTTCTTGTACTATATCCTTATATGCAATCTTTCATATATTACCACCATTGACTTAACCACTCCTATGAATCCGGTGTTCATCTTGCTGTGCTAATGCGGTATGGCAACTTGGACCGATGCATATATTTGCCTGGTCCTACGGTGTAACTGACTGACTGACTATAAGCGAGACGTTTCGCGAATCCGCAAGCGGCTTTACTCGCCATTTTTGTGGCGTCATGCAATTGCAACCAATGCTCATCTATACTTTTCGGTGGAATGGTAGCTAGCCTAGCAGCTAGCTCGGTTCGATACTTACTAGCAACAGAAGTTGCAACCAACTTGCTAACATCAATCCTTTGGTAACGGTCACTTCGTTGGCCACTGAAAAGTAAGGCAAGATTGGCGCAGACCAGGGCATGATCAGAGTCCAGATAGGTACTCCAAAAGAAGCGGCAGTCTTGTACACAAACACGCCAGCGGTAGCTGACCGCGATGTGATCAATCTGAGTCCAGGCTTGAGATGCAGAGGGAGGACGCCAGGTGGCACATTGGCGATGACTGTGCCGAAATTAAGTGCTAGCCAGAAACAGGTTGTGGTCTGTGCAAAGTTGCAGTAGACGGTCCCCGTTATCTGACCTGCGACCAACAAGTCCCTATCGGCCACCTAAACGACTCTCTTCTGTGCCTAGATACCCGACCTGAGCATTCAAGTCTCCGGCTAGTACTACAATATCTGTCGAACGCACTTTCTGGAGAAAAACAGTTAACTGGTGGTAAAACTCATCCTTGATTGCATCCGGCTTCAATCTGTCGAGGCATAGGCGGAGATGACAAAAAGACATCGTTTCTCACGCCGATTTCTTCTCGCGTTGATGGAACTTTCTAATCTAACAGCACATAACCGACTGTTAATGTGGATCCAATCGATTAATGCTGCCTCAGCTCTAGCGCTTAGTGCGACACCAACGCCAGCAAGACCAGGCCCCCTGAATGCCCTGGTACGGCCGAGAGTGGGGAGAGTCCGCTCTCCCTCTCGAAATACTCTCACACGGCCACGCGTATACAGCCTCTGCCAGGGAAGTCCTACTCATTGCCTTCTCGTGGCGGGGGTGTTGTTTACGAAAATGAGAGGACGAAAAGCGAATGTCCGGCGCTTTAACCGGATTCCAAACCAATGGTGCACATGGGCTCCAGTATCCTGCGGGAACGAATGGCGTATGAACCAATCGTTGGTCACCGGCTACCATGGGACTGCATCTCCTTACGATGCTCCACTGCCTTGTGGGTTAGACCTTTAGGTCAAAGGCTCGGGGAGTGGCCCCCTAAGATAACCACCTGCTTCGGTTTGGGCACCCGGGCAGTATCACAGCCCACACACAAATGATGAACTCTTTATGTCTATGGAAATTACTTTTGTCGCTTTGAAAAACAAACAATTGATTCAGATTATTATCATTACAATTATTGTCATTATTAATACTAATATTATTATTACTACTATTATTGTCATTATTGTTATTATTATCATTATTATTATTATTTTCCACATTATTCACCCTCTTTTATACTTATACAGCGGCTCGTCTTTGGTGGAATTCCGACTGTATCCAAACGTTCTCGAGTCACTGTCCGGTTGAAAATTGTATGTTACCACCGAATACGAGGACTGAAGCAGATTTTCTGAAACCACGTGCACCATTCAAACTGGCTGCCTTCAACGTTCGCACATTTATGCAGGTCGGACAACAGATAGGGCTGGCTATGTCTTTGGAAAGTCTTAATATCGACGTGTGTTGTCTATCCGAGACCCGTATTCAAGACTCTGGCGAAGTACTACAAATTCGATCTCCATCTGTCGCTTCGAAAAGCTTGTTTTACGTGCGCTTATCCGGGGACCCTGTGGCATCTTCGTCTGGTCTTGCTGGCGTTGGTGTCGCACTAAGCGCTAGAGCTGAGGCAGCACTAGTCGATTGGATCCCCATTAACAGTCGGTTATGTGCTGTTAGATTAGAAAGTTCCATCAAAGTGAGAAGAAATCGGCGTGAGAAACGATGTCTTTTCGTCATCTCCGCCTATGCCCCGACAGATTGCAGCCCGGATGCAATCAAGGATGAGTTTTACCACCAGTTATCAGTTCTTCTCCAGAAAGTGCGTTCGACAGATATTGTAGTACTAGCCGGAGACTTGAATGCTCAGGTCGGGCGTCTAGGCACAGAAGAGAGTCGTTTAGGTGGCCGATGGGGACTCGTTGGTCGCAGGTCAGATAACGGGGACCGTCTACTGCAACTTTGCACAGACCACAACCTGTTTCTGGCTAGCACTAACTTTCGGCACAGTCATCGCCGATGTGCCACCTGGCGTCCTCCCTCTGCATCTCAAGCCTGGACTCAGATTGATCACATCGCGATCAGCTACCGCTGGCGTGGTTGTGTACAAGACTGCCGCTCCTTTTGGAGTACCTATCTGGACTCTGACCATGCCTTGGTCTGCGCCAATCTTGCCTTACTTTTCAGTGGACAACGAAGTGAACGCCATCAACGGATTGATGTTAGCAAGCTGGTTGCAACTTCTGTTGCAAGTAAGTATCGAACCGAGCTAGCCTCTAGGCTAGCTACCACTCCACCGAAAAGTATAGATGAGCATTGGTTGCAATTGCATGACGCCATGAAAATGGCGGGAACAGTCAGTTGTGGGTTTGCGAAACGTCCCGCTTTTAAGCACTGGGTTTCTTCTGGTTCCTTACAACTCATTGAAGCCCGTCGGTCTACTCCGGGTGACCGTGAGTTTGACCATAAACGAAGGATGTTACGTAAGGAAATTGGGCAAAGCTTGCGTAAGGACCGAGAAGCCTGGTGGTCGATGCGTGCTAATGAGCTGGAAGCAGCAGCTGCATCTGGTAACTACCGGAAGCTCTTCCAACTCATCCGAGCCACTGGCAGCAAGAAGTCTGGTGTGAGTGAAACAATCTGCGAGGATGATGGGATGCCAATCACTAACATCCATCGACGTCTTGGACGATGGGCAGAATTTTTCGAAGGGCAGTTCAACTGGCCTGCTGCTCCGGCAACATCGGTCAGACTGTCCTGCCCTCCATGGCCGGTGACGACTGATCCACCAAATGAGGAGGAAGTCCGCAAGGAACTCCAACTCTTGAAGCGTTACAAATCACCTGGCCCAGATGACTTACCTCCGGCTCTTTTTAAAGATGGTGGTGACTTTTTGACTAAGGAATTGACGACGTTGTTTACAAAGGTTTGGGAACTAGAGAGTGTACCAACGTCATGGAATGAGTCGATAGTTGTCCCTATCTTTAAAAAGGGTTCACGTCGTTCTTGTAACAACTATCGGGGGATAAGTTTACTTCCGATTGCGTCCAAGCTATTGGCTTCCGTCATTCTTCGTAGGTTGTTCAAAACCCGAGAAAGATTGACTCGCGAGGAGCAGGCTGGGTTTCGTTCTGGTCGAGGATGTATTGATCATATCTTCACCCTCCGCCAAATGTTAGAACACCGCCATACTTTTCAAAGGCCAACAATCGTAGTGTTTCTTGACATCAGGGCTGCCTTCGATTCGTTGGATAGGACTGTTCTCTGGGATTGTCTATTGAAGAAGGGTGTGCCTGAGAAGTTTATTAACATCCTAAAAGCCCTGTATAAAAACACCTCAGGCAGAGTGAGGGCATACAACCACCTCTCTCCATTGTTCCATTCGAGCAGTGGGGTTAGGCAGGGTTGCCCAATCTCACCATTCCTCTTCAACTTTGCCATCGATGACATTCTGGAAACAGCTCTGATGAATGTAAGTAATGGTGGTGTGGATCTGTTGCCTGGAGAAAGACTTCTCGACCTTGAGTATGCGGACGATATTGTCTTACTGTGCGATAATGCCCAAGGCATGCAATCCGCACTTAATCAGTTGGCAATCAGTGTCCGTAGGTATGGTATGTGCTTTGCACCTTCGAAGTGCAAAGTACTTCTACAAGACTGGCAGGATTCTAATCCTGTACTCACCCTGGACGGTGAGCAGATAGACGTAGTTGAGAAGTTCGTGTATCTGGGTAGCTGCATAAGTGCTGGTGGGGGTGTGAGTGATGAGATCAATGCACGAATAGTGAAAGCCAGAGCGGCTTATGCCAATCTGGGCCACCTTTGGCGCCTTCGTGATGTTAGTCTGGCTGTAAAAGGTCGGATCTACAACGCGTCGGTGAGAGCAGTTTTGCTCTATGCTTGTGAAACCTGGCCTCTCCGAGTTGAGGACGTTAGACGACTCTCTGTGTTCGATCATCGCTGTCTCCGAAGGATTGCTGACATTCAGTGGCAACACCATGTCAGTAATGCAGAGGTTCGGCATCGTGTGTTCGGGCACAGAGATGATAACTCAATTGGTGTCACCATCTTGAAACACCGACTTCGGTGGCTTGGACATGTTCTCCGAATGTCGTCCCAGAGAATTCCACGTCGTGCATTATTTGCCGACTCTGGGACTGGTTGGAAGAAGCGGAGAGGTGGTCAGTGCATGACATGGTGTCGTGGCATGAAAGAAAGCTGCAAAGGACTGGCTTGTGTTGGTCCTTCACGACTCCCTGGTTGGGGTCCGAGAGATGGTGCTACACAGTGGCTAGAGACGTTATCAGATATGGCTCAGAATAGAAGCCAGTGGCGATCCTGCTGTAACCTTCTTTTACTTTCTTCATAAAAAGTGGTTGTGTCTCCCTTACCTGAAAGATTTCTTCTGATTGTACCTCTTCGTCATTACTCTCTTTTTCTTTTGCGTTCCTTAGTTTTTTTTTCTCTTTCTACTTCTCTTCGAATTCCCATTGTTTTGTGTGGCGCATATATATTGGCGCTCTCTTGTACCAATATTTATGTGTTCAAATAAAATAAATAAAATAAGCAAGACCAGACGAAGATGCCTCACGGTTCCCGGATAAACGCACGTAAAACAAGCTTTTTGAAGCGACAGCGAATTTGTTGTACTTCACCAGAGTCTTTAATATGGGTCTCGGATAGACAACAAACGTCAATATTAAGACTTTCCAAAGACATAACAAGCCCTGTCTGTTGTTCGACCTGGATAAGTGTGCGTACGTTGAAGGCAGCCAGTTTGAATGGTGCACGCGGTTTCAGAAAAACTGTTTCAGTATTCGTATTTGGTGGTGCATTTAATTTTCAACCAGTGACTCGAGAACGTTTAGATAGAAGCGAGTTTCCACCATAGGCGGGCTGCTGTATAAGTCGAAAAATAAGGATGCATAAAGTGAGAATAAATAGAGTGAGTAAATAACGTAGTAAATAATAATAATAATAATAATAATAATAATAATAATAATGTGGATCGTTTGACTGTTAATCGAAGCAAGTATAGTATTTTCCTTAAGTATCGTCACTTCATTCTGTTTGTGTGTGGGCTGTGATACTGCCCGGATGCCCAGACCGAAGCAGGTTGTTTTCTTAGGGAGGCACACCCCGAGCCTTTGACCTAAAGGTCTGACCCATAAGGCAGTGAAGCATCGTGAGGAGATGCAGTTCCATGGTAGCCGGTGACCAAAAATTGGTTCATGCGCCATTTGTTCCCGCAGGATACTGGAGCCCATGTGCACCATTGGTTTGGAATCCGGTTAAAGCGCCGGACATTCGCTTTTTGTCCTCTCATTTTCGTAAACAACACCCCTGGTGAGAGAAGGCAGTGAGTAGGACTTCCTTGGCAGAGGCTGTATACGCGTGGCCATGTGAGAGCATTTCGAGAGGGAGGGCGGGCTCACCCCATTCTCGGCCATACCAGGGCATTTGGGAGCCCTAGATTTTACTGCTAGCCACCATCTATCTCTGCTTATAATACTCGTGACTTAAAGCGATATCGATGAAAACTGATCAGGATGCAAATATGACAATTAGAGACTGATCAGTTGCAGTCCTAAACATCAGTAAATTCAAACAACCAACACCCAAGTGAACTAAAACATACATTGTTTATAGTAAGTTATAGGAAATTTTAATGTATCAAAGCATCGAAATGCTAATCACTTAGTCATTTAACTCTTTAATTTTAGCGATTTAAAATAATATACTTACTACAGTGTTTTTAGATCTTATTTAACCTCAATAATTACTGAAACTGTACACTCGTTATTGATAACTAATTGACTTAATAAAAAAACACAGCCCAAAAGATTAAATGAGTTAGGCAGGTAGGTAATAATTTTACAACAACTTACACAAATAAACGGGAATTCACATCCAATTTTAGACCAGTTTTTAGATAATCAAATGAATGATATAACACATTCACTTTAGGATTTTTCAGTAGAAGACAACCAATTAATGCTCGTTGATCATAAATATTTTTTTCATTCTTACCAACAACTACAAGAATAGATATGTTTGACGTGATTAAATTTCTTCTAGAGCAATCTTCGACATACATACGACAAGCAGATAATAAAGCTTCGGTAAATCTATCAGCAGAAAAGCAATCAGGTACCTAAATGTAAAATTGATGACATGAATGAAATTTTCAATACATTAGATTCATATCATTTGTATGATAGCCCCATAGTCCGAAACTATATAAATACATTCTAAGTCCTAAGGCGCTTAAATATATACAAAAAGAAATAACCATTTGATAAAGTGTATATTCCGGATTGTTTAAGTCAATGTATAGATCAGTTCAATAAAATTATTGTTCAGTATTATAAGCCATTAAAAAACTATAATCTCAGGTAAATGATATCCGTCAGATAATATACATGTAAACAATGATTTCGGGTTTCATATAATTTCAACTTTGGATACCACTTGTTGCTATTACGTAATGTAGTCTTCTGGAAATAAACTATAATCCTAATTTTTAAATTGCCCAAATAAGTCAATAAGATAAATTATTACATAGAATGATTTTTTGCATATGAAACAAATATTAGGATTCGCTGAACTAGACGAAAATCTAACCGTAAAAAATAAAGTGATACCGGATGAACTCAAGAGTTTATTGAACAAGTCTCACTTTTGAAAGCACCCCCAACATAAAGACAGACCAGTCCATCAAAAGGCAGTAGAATTGCAAAAACATGAACAGCTTTTGGAAAAAGTATATGATTCACGAAAAAATCTAAAATAAACATCCATTTTATTATGCAAGGAATTATACTCTCAAAAATGACTGAGATCATACATAATAACAATGAGGTGAATAAAATTATTCTCAACTTACACGATTATTTAAATCGCTTGAAATTCCATGCAAAGATAAGGAAATACGATGTTGTGGAACAATACGCTGAGCAAGACCACAAAAGCTACATGCAATCATATTGAATTCAACTTGTCGAATCAACAAACCATCCCAAGCTTCATCTTGAGTCTCAATATCAGATTGAGCGGCTACTACTGTACTTTGTAACCGGTTCGCAAGAGAAGTCCGTTTAGTATCGCATAAATCTCCTTGTACATGAAGCATATAATCAGATCGGTTCAATCCTAACACTATATCCTGAGAAAAGGAATAAAAAACAAAGTTCGAGGGTAACTTCTTTGGGTTTACAAACGAGGTAAAGACTAGGTAAAAATGTCTCTGTTGACAAAATTTGGAATGTAATTTTCAGACCTAGTAAGTCATGTTTAAATTGAAGTTTTACTGCCATAAAACACACATTTGGCAGTAATAATATAGCTAGTGAATAGATATGGAGAAAAGTCAGCTTTCAACTCATGTGAGTTTTTTTGCCCCATAATGTCGATTGTTCACTATGGGTCAAAAAGTACTGGCTATGAACATCCTACAGGGATAGTCGATCGAATCATGCAAAGGAAAGGAAATCTCGTTAATGAGACAGTAGTCGGCTCAGAAGTTTGGTTACACCATGATGATCACCTGAAAACAACTTCGAGAACCGATGTGAAATACCTCATAGTATTCTATTAGACACTTTTGAAATCAAGCCCCGGAAACGGCTAACCCATCTCTGCGCGAACGAAGAGTGATACTATTTTTTGACTGCCTAAAAGGTAGACAGATCAAAAGCAAGGAACGCGGATGCGAGCGGACCACAACGCTATGTCCCACTAATCTGCTCAAAAGAGAGGTTTCAACAGGACACATATTGTATTAATATATGTTCCATGCAGGATAATGTTGAAGCACACTGATTTATTCATTTTTAGCCGATTGGGGCTAAAAGATGGATAAAAACTCAAGAATATTCTTGTGTATAAATTATAAATTTACTAAGTTCTCACGCTGTGATCGCAACTTCCATTCAACTTTAAACCCGGAACCCGCTCTTTGAAATATCACAATAATCTTATCTTATTCTATAACGAATTTGTAATGAGCATTTTACAAAACCATATCTGAACTTTCTACATCTGTGACAGTTCAGAATCGAAGTGACGAAAACGCTGCTTATCAGTGACAGCGCTATTATTTCGTCCATTTTCTACAATGCTATCCTTTTTTGACAAATTAATCATTTTTAAGAAATCATTAACATTCTCACGTGCATCGAATGAGTTGGAACGAACCAGATGTAGCAGGTAAACGTTGATATGCATTTTTATTTCGTCTAAACTAAAAAGCTTTCTGAATAAACATGCGTAAACTATGCATTAACTGCTTTTTTAGATCATGGAATGGAGATAACTTTTTTCTCCAAGTTAAAGTGTTGACGTTTAACTGTCACCCCCATGTAAACATTGACAACTTTATGTAAAACATGTTTAGAAATTGTTTTAACATAAACCACTGTTTGAGTGAGAAGATAACTTGATTGTTTTAAGATATTAAAAACGAACTTTATAAGTGCACAAGCGGTAGTAAACTAGTCCGTTAAGTTTTTCAAAAAGTCGACTATTTGACATGTTAATATTGGAGGGAGGTAGACAATTCGCTGTTAATTTTAGGGAAGAGCAAACAATTTGTAAAAGGTAAGGGTGTTTCATGTTGTGGAGTTGCAACTTGGAAAATGTATACAACTATCATCAAAAGGTAAAGGTATTTATAGAGATATCTAGCCAAGATTTCCTGGCCAGAGACAGAGATAGTCGAATATAATAGATCAAACCAACTTTCAGCTTAAGAAGAAATTGTTGCACTCATGCCTTGTCAATTACATAAAGCCTTAATCAATAAATAAATGATTATTTTGATTAGTAGAAAACAGAATTTGAGTAAACTCAATTTAGACAATATTTTTATCCGAGTTGCAAATGAAAGTTGAAAACCATTTAAATCTGACTAATTATTACATATTTACCGAGATAGTGCTTTATAAGTTAACCAATAATCATTCTGCAAACAAAAAAACGCTTTTTAGATTCGGGGCTAATGCTACGAAAGTATGCTGAATAAGGTAGAAACGATAGACATTTAATTCAATACACTCTTATTAGGGCTATAGAGAGAAGTGATCGATCTCAAAATTGTAAACTGAGATCAGTTTGATAAGCAGGCAACTATGAGATTGTGTGAAATATCATCGAAACTGATAGGCAAGCTGAATGAAAAAAAATATTAGATAAGGTAATGATAGTAAACTAAAATGAACTTATTGAGTGGAGAAATACGGTATTTGTAATAATTGATGACTCCTTTATAGTTTATTCCGCTGCCAATTCGAAGTCCAAACAGAATGCGTTCATTTATACTCATCGAGTTCCATCTGTCTTAAATGGCACTATTCTGACAGTTCCTGTTTAGCAAATCATTTCGACTACTTATAATTATCAGTGTATTTATCTCAGGATAGTAGGGATTATGGATACCAGGACTATTCACATTAACATACAGGATGCTCGTCGGTTGCAATGTGAAAAATAAGTGATAATTCGGATACTCAGTCAGTCAGTAACAACGTAGAACTTCGTACGTATGTACATCAGTTCGAGTTGCCATACCACATTAGCATAGAGATGCAGTGGTCGATTCAAATCCCGTAGTGGTAGAGGTAGTAAGAGTATAAGCAGTAATCAGAAACATTAGGGTCAGTAGAAAAATTGATTGGCAGTGCACATATTATGAGAATACAGAAGTGTAGGAATAATAGAGGAAGTGGAGATGATAATAAGCGAAATAGAAACAAGTTAATGATGAGATAATGACAACAGTATGCAAGTTACGAGACACGCATCCGACACAAATGTTTCAAGAGGGGATGGTAATCCATGGATGAGTACGTGTTTGCCAAGTCTTCTCTTGAAGCTATTCACTGAGGGGGCTGTGGTCACTTCGGTTGGGAGAACACTACCAATAGGGGCAGCTCTTAATGAAAAAAGAAAGAGCGTACCTTGGTTTTCGTTCTTTGATCTGCAATCTTTCGATGGTTGTCTCGAAGAACGTGGTGTTGTTTATGTAGGATGTACGTGATGGGGTAAATTCCAAGGATATTGTCGGTATCAAGTACGGATCACTGTCGAGTAATCGACTGAATGGGACTCATCGATGCACGTTAACTTCCTCAACTATGAGAAAGCATTTGACAGGATGGACAGGAGGACCTTGTGGAATCTTCAACGACACTATAAAGTACCTGAGATTGTCACCGTCATACGGAATTCTTACGACGGACTACACTGAAAAGTGGTGTATAGAGGACAGCTCGCAGGTGCATTCCAAGTGAAGACCGGTGTCAGACAAGGCTGCTTACACTCCCCTTTTCTCTTCTTTCTGATGCTTGACTGGCTTATGAAGACCTTCACATCTTACAGGAAGCATGGTATACAGTGAATACCTTTGATGCAACTGGACGATTTAGAATTCGTACATATCCTGACTCTTTTTTCTCATACACAGCAACAAGTTCAGTTGAAAATATACAGTACAACAGCAGCCTCTGCAGCAGAATACCTCAACATACATGAAGCAAAGTCCAGTATCCTAAAATTAAACACAACGAACATCAACAAATCACACTTGTTAGCGCAACTCTGGAAGAAATGGTAGCTTTTACGTACCTAGAGTGCGACTGATAGACAAGGGAGATCTGATGTGAATGTAAAGACAAAGATTGGCAAAGTAAAAAGATTGCCTATACAATTGAAGAAAATCTGGAATTCAAAACAAGTGTCATCCAACATCAAAGTCAGAATTCTCAATACGAATATCAAAACAGTTCTATTGCATGGTGCTGAAACTTGGAGAACAGTTACGATCAACATCAGAAAAGCACATGTATTTATAAAAACTTGTCTACTCAAGATACTTCAAATATATTGTCCGGACACCATCAGAAATGACCTACTGTGGTGGGGAACAAAACAGCTTCCAGTTGCAGAACAAGTCAGGAAAAAATGCTGTACGTGGATAGAGCACACATAGCGGAAACTATCAAGCTGCATTACAAGGTAGGCCCTTACTTGGAAACCTCAAAGCAAATGGACAAAACTTACACCTGTTACCCCCATGGAGGAGCGTAGGAAACCAACAAGCATTCTACATCCAGTTCTGTCCTGTGCAATCCTTTCCAGTTGCTATTCATCCTATTTATGTCTGTTTCAAACTACTGACGGTGTGTTCTTAGGTCTTCCTCTTATCCCTTTCCCTACAGGATTCCAAGTTAGCGTTTGCCTCATGTTGCAGTTTGATGATTTCTTCAATGTGTCCCATCAACTTCCAGTGTCTTTTTCTAATTTACTCCTCAGATGGAAGCTGGTTTGTCCTCTCTTTCATGGTAGGATGTTGCTGATGGTATCGGACCAACGGACATTCAGTATATTATGTAGTCAACTGCACATAAATATTTGTACCTTTTCGATGGTTTTTGTAGTTCTTCAAGCTTCAGTTCCGTGCAGCAGAACTGTCATGACGTTTGTACTGAAGATTCTCACTTTGATATTGGTTGACAGTTGTTCTGAATTCCATGTGTTATTCAATTGTAGGGATGTGGCCCTTGATTTCCCAATCCTCGACTTTACGTGTTCATTCGATTCTCCTTGTTCATCGGACAAGAGATAGATCAAAAAATGAGTTGGAGATAGAAGGAATAGGTCAAAGATATAATAGGAGTTAGTGACCGAAAAGGAATAGAAAGGACAAGGTTGGTTGGAGAATAATGGTAGGTAGCCTATGTTCCATGAGGTGTAACAGGCACAAGTTACAAAACAAATCAAGCAATCAGAAAGGTCTTGTTCCAAGACACTTCACTTAAATGAAGAACAGCAGCAATTTTACCTTGGGCTAAGGAAGAGGCGAAGATTTGATGGATTGTCGGCTACATTCATACCGATTTGAGCATTTTCCACAGAATTTCTCTAAGGTTCCTCTTTATTCCTCCTTATTTGGTGTTCGGAGTGCGGAACGTCTTGAGTAAATGTTAAAGCGAAAACGGGCAAATAATACTAAGATTTTTATCGTTTAAGCATGTATCGTGCAGTGCACGCTACCTGAGAAGTCTACCGAGTAATCTTTCAGAAAAAGTCTAAACAGTTATAAAACTCTAAGTAGGGATCGGCAGACTTTCGGGATACATGAAATTTGTGTAATCAATTTCAAACAAAATTTCTTTACCTGAGTAATTTCGTTAGTTCGAATTCGTGAATATATACCCCATAATGAGCGAAGATAAGGGTCAACAGCAAGAACGCTGAAATTCGGAAATTTGATGAAAGAGACTCACGGCTTCAACACATCATCGAGAAATTCATGATTCATTGCAACCCTGTGATATAACAAGTTAAAATCACATTGGATTGATTGAGCACGACATAGTAATACTTTTGGTACGGGAGATGGTAAAAGTGTACATGATAAAAGAGATGGGTTTCCGTCGACCACCTTAAGAATTCCTATAGACCGTCAAGCTATTTACGTAAGTATACCATTTGAGACTGCAAATTCAGATGCCACCTTGTGCATGTCTAACGACCTTAAGAATGAAATTCGCCGTCTAGGTCAAGTCACAGCTCAAATGGTTCAAATGGTTGTGAACGGAACAGAAGAAGCTTTCGCTTAACGGGCTTCCGTGTCTAGTAGCAGAGGATCACCAATTCCTCCAGGCTGGAACTTAGGCATATTGACGATAATAGAAGAAAAAGAAATCGGTAAATCATAGTAAGATACCATCATTAGTCCTCAAGAATATGTCAAGTTTCCTCTTGAAGGACTCCTGGGAAGTCGCCCGGACTAACTCAGCCGGCAGCGAATTTCAGCATTTGACCTCTCTTAAGGAGTGCAAGTTGTGTCTACAGTTCGTTCGGTTGTGCTGTGTCTCCAGGTTCTGAGTGTTACCCCTTAGGTTTGTGTTGAGGCTAAATTTAAGTAAGTGTTTGAGGGGATGTCCAGAAGTGTTAAGGATTCTGCAAGCCATTAGAAGATCACCTCTAAGACGCCTGTACTCTAATGAGTAAAGGTTTAGTGGGTGGAGAGGCTCTTCATAAGGCTTGGAGGCGCTCTTCATAGGGCTGTGAGTCATATGTAGATAAATTCGAACACTTCACTTCTATTTAAAGTTTGGGCTGATAGTTTTGCTAAAAAGACAGTGAAAACTCTAAAACCAGATAACTTATCTCAGAGAACAAAACCCTGACGAATTTCAGTTTCAATTCTCAATGCCATTTTGTGGTCGTATAGAAAGTTGGTAGATCTATATGGTATGAAGTTGTACTTTTTTGTAATGATCCGTTTCCTTCACGAGTGCTTTCACTGATCAAGAGGATACCAGGTGTTCTGGTTTGGTGTTCCACCTGGAAATATACTCCCTATCAATCTAGGTCTCGCACTGATGGCGTGATCTGTGTCCATTTCATTTATCTGATGAGTTATGAGTGAGATGATGACTTTGATGTTCCCGGTCATCTTTGCCGAGTTGTTTTTTGAATGAAACCTCTCCTCACTAGTGTAAAATTCGATCATTTACCATGAATTTCTATAATTTGTATGCTTCTTACTCACATTTTATCGCGATTACTCAGATTTTATCTTATTGTAATTCTGAATCTACTTTAACTGCATTATTCAATCAATGAAACGATAAGATACATTCGTCTCTGAATCTGACACAATCCTCAAAGAAACTATAATATCTAATACTGCTGTGGCTTTATATGAATCACCTTATCTTTTGAACTAACGTTGATAATACAGACAACACTGAACTACTATGACCTTCAACACACGTCTTATATTCATATCCTTGTATTTTCACACATATACGACCTTTTTGTGTAAGTCTGTCACTCACTGTTTTATCTGACCCCCGTCATTTTTTCATACTACGTATTATCTGTTTTTGAACTATCTTAACTCCTGCGTTCAGTATCATAGGCGGATCAGCACTTTCACTTTCTTCACTTCGCTTTCCTGTTTGTAATTTTGGCGTCCATCTGAGATAAACTCCGTCTGTCAAATACAAGTTCACGGTTGTATTACCACTACCACTCAAACAGAGTTAACCTATATTTAGTGTGTGAAATTAAGTGAAAGATTTATGTTTGTGACATACTCATTGATTCTTCCAAACTGGAGTCAGATCATGAGCTAATAATAAACTTGTAAAGTAGTAACTTTGCACTGGGTTGTTATAAAACTACGAGGTTAATATTCAGACAACGAAAATAAAACGAAATAACGAATCATATCTTGAAGTAACTGTAAGGACATCACCAAAAAATTGGGAATGAGTATATCAGAAATTCATCACATCTTATTTTCTGACCTCAAATACTTCGGGTACAAAACTCTAGTCATAAGCCCAGCTTAAACTTACTTAAACGAAAAAGAGGTATATTGAACTCGAATTTTCTGTTTACTTCTCACTTTCTCATAAAGGATGTCATTTTGTCCAGCGTTCAGTCTGGCTTGATTTCTTCATTGTTGCAAATGTTAGTGTATCAGTTGACCCAAATGTGCTTATTATGCTAAGTTTATTGAACGAAAACTAAATAACTGGTATGTAATAAATGTTACGCAGAAGTTCCTTTCTTGAGTAGCCACCATGGATCGAGTCCACTCAGTTTGTCAAGCATTTGCCCAAAACTCCTGAGCTGAGGATGTGAATTGAAACACAAGCTTAGAAGATGTTTGTTCTGTGATAAATTTCACCAATAAAATTCAAGTGTATTTCATACTATTAAATGCTTTAAATGTGATAACATTTGATACATTGAGTCAGTCTGTAATACTACTGTTTATTTTACTGCAACTAACCCTAAACTTTGTAATCCCAACCCTATTAAGTTGAATGTTTCAAGTGAATCATACTCTGATCTGATTAGTGATACCGTTTCACCACATTACATTGTTCTCATAATTTATGTATTTCTAATGAAATTATTTGCAAATGTGTGGAAGATAAACCGAGTGCATCAAATCCAGACCTAAATTATTATGTTATTTTATCAGATGTGGTTTGCGATAATTATTCATTTTTCTCTAGTGAAATCTCAGTTAACTGTGAGAATCATGTCCGAAATGAGTTAAATTCTGATTACGGTCCTTATGGAGTTGCATAAGATGTTGCTTGTCCTCATAATGGGTTTATCTATAGTGATATCACTAATGAGTGGGATAAATGTGTTCCGAATGAGTCGAATTCTAGTCACATTTAGCATGTTATTGTATCAGATGCTGGATATTCTCACGACCAGTGTATGTCTATTAGAGTCCCTATACAGTGGTATAATGAATACAGAGTGAATAGCAGGTTTTCCCGGAGCAGTTAGAGAACCAATTTATTCAGATATGAAGTTTGCATAGGCAGAAAATTCAAACCGAATCCAAGATTATCTTAATGAGTATGAAGGAAGTGCAAATTTTCCATTAGAATGTTTTGCAGGCAAATGAAGCCTAGATGAACCACATGTGTTAACTACACATGCCAATACATTTTTATCTGGTATCTGAAACAATGGCCTTGTGCATTCCAGCTTGAAATGCAAATGAATATGTATCACATTTTTATGCAGGTCAAAGTCACATGATGAAATGCCTCAAATTATAAGTCAGTATGTACCCCTAAATACTCACATATAATATTTGAAGTGTGAGATATGAGAAGATAATACAAATCTGGAACGTCAAATTGGTCATGACATTGCGACATACGGACCCTACACTATTTTGTGGGGTAGGATAATCTTAGAAAGTCTATAGTTCAAAACCTAGTTACCAGTGATTTCAGCACACAAGCGACGTATTGAATATATATAATTCCCGGACCCAGGTGAGTTCATTCGAATTCCACTTTTTAATTCTAATACTAATTAGTATACTCTGGATCATACAGAATCTACATCCAATACACAGTCGGAGATACACAGGATGAACATAAGGAGAAGTACAATTGATTGCAGAAATTCGGGTTCTCATTTAAGTTGTGGCCGACATGGTGTTTGTATGAATTAGTGATTCATTAGCACTTGATGAATGACTGATTTCAAACTTCAAATATGACACGTGCGTTTGTGCTCACCTAATTCTCTTGGGTCGAATTCGCGTAATTTCTGAGATTCCGAGTTTGTATAATAATTTAATTACTTCTCATCATCACAGTACTACTAAAATGTTACTGTAGAAAAAGAATAACGAACAGAAAATCAATTTACATAGAAATGCAAATGAACAAACAACTTATGCTGGGAAGAGATGGATGTTGACTAGCAGTTGTATCCATAACACGCTTTCCGTCCTATGGGATTAATCAGCTGGATGTGACTGTTTTCGAGAGTTGATGTTCTGTCTGCGACTAGGGTCTAGTACTATATGCTTCAAATGTTATCGCATTGTCCACCTAGCTACTGAATCCAGATAGACACAGGTTTGAGCAACTGCATAAACTTAAATCCATCAGAAAAGTAGACGAGATGAAATCCACCACTTCTCGCACATATAGTGAGCTTGGAACGTGTATCAATTCTTGCACATTGCCTTAACTGGCTGGTTTTATATCTTTAGCCTTGATTTGCTATCTTACATCTACTACCATCGTGAAAATGTCGTATAGGTTGTTGACAAGTCGACAGAATGTAAGAAAACTCTATTAGTTTATTAGGTCGTGTCTTCGTAAACCTTGATAATCCCCGTTTCAACTATTTAGTCGTTTGGAAAGACTTTTGACGATTAAAAAAACGCAGAACTCTTGAAAAACATCCCATTCTTTACCCTCACATTGGTGTGTG